CAGGGCCTGGTTAAAGGAGGAAATACGCAGCCGCACCTCACTGCTAGCATTGCTGACCAGGGATACTCACTCCCACCACCAAAGGCCTTTGGTCCACCGAAGAAACAGTCGGGCCGTTTAAAAGGAGCAAATATGTAGCCACTCCACTCTGCTAGCATTGCTGACCAGGGATACATACTCCCACCACCAATGATCTTTGGTCCCCGAAAAAAACAGCAGGGCCTGGTTAAAGGAGCACATACGCAGCCGCACCTCTCTGCTGGCATTGCTGACCAGAACAAATGTTTGAAATAAGTGACTTCTGTGTACTAAACGAAGAATTCATATTTCCAGAGAGAGATTGCTGCATTGTGTTACCAGTGTCTGTATGCTCGGTGTAAACTATTGTTTTGTTAATCTGGATGAAACTGCATACAGATTAGAGTCCGTGTGTATAAACTACCGTATCTGGCAGACAGGATTCAGTGTGTGTGTATGGTTCCCTAGCAAACCATTCAGATACAAACTAAAGGTGGAGGTAAACTACCCTAAATCGTGTGCCTGGTGTTTGTCAGCAGTGGGAAAAGGAATGATGCCAATATTCTAGGCCATGGTATACCTTGGGGACTCTCAGAAAACGTCCAGGAGTAATTTAATGGCTCCACAACCCTTACAGCAGATTGTATGCAGGATTTGTATCTGCCTATGTGTGGCCAGGCTTTGGGTGATGTCTCCCTTCAGTGGTAGCTCATGGTATTGCGGGCTGGGATATTTGTTTCACAACACTTTTTTTTTTTTTTTTTACCTGTTTAGAGCAAGCTCTCTCCTCATTTCTTCTCCACCAAACAAGGTCCTCACCTCGGGTAGTGAGTCACCATGGGTGTGCATCCTTCATCAGGTCGGTGGAGTTGAGGGTCTGGAACATAAAGTGATGGAACACTCTGACATGTGGAGACGATGTGTGGACTTTACAAGATGATATTTTCTATGTGATCTCACATCATAAATCCTTCTATATTACAGATGTTATTTTCTGCCATTCTGTTGGTTTAGGGTGAAGATCTGATGAAGATGAAAGTTGAGGGTGAAGTAGAAGAGACGTATGTGAGGGATGATCAGCAATTACGGAGGAGGCTGGAATGACGAGGACATTCAAAGAGGAGGACACTCCTACAGAGATCAGCACAGTGTGAGACACAATATATTCTTCTGTTATCTCTGCACACTGATTGGTCCAGAGTAGGGCGGGGGATGATGAGTGATGTCATAATGTTGATAACCATCACCTCCTTGTAATGATACCCATCCTGCACATTAATCTTCTTTCCTCTCAGATAAACCCCCTTCTCTGTGCTGCAGACACAATTTATGTATTCAGACATGATTTATATATAGTGATGAGACGAACGTACCTGGGTCTGGTTCAGGGTGGGTTGGACAAACTTTATCGAAGATAAGATCCGGCATCCTAAAGTCAGTGGGAGTTGAATTGCAAGGGGATTGTCAAACTAATGGGAGGCTGGGCACTGTTCTGGAGGGGGAGGAGATGGATGTGTGTATATCTATTACAACATATATATATATATATATATATATATATATATATATATATATATATATATATATATATATAAAATTAAAAAGTAATTGTAACATATATTTTTATATATATTTGCAAATGCATTCCAAAATGAAGATTAAATGTATTTGAAATATATGTCAATATATATTGGAAGAATGTTTTTAAAATATATTTATAGGGGATATACTGGAATATATATATTTTTTTTTTTAATACTAGTAATGGCGGCAATCAGCGACTTATAGCGGGACTGCAACGGGCATTGTGACACTGCGGGGGGAACTAACTTTCACTGACATATCCAGTGGGACTGCGACGGGCATTCTGACACTGCGGGGGGAACTAACTTTCACTGACATACCCAGTGGGACTGCGACGGGCATTCTGACACTGCGGGGGGAACTAACTTTCACTGACATATCCAGTGGGACTGCGACGGGCATTCTGACACTGCGGGGGGAACTAACTGTCACTGACATACCCAGTGGGACTGCGACGGGCATTCTGACACTGCGGGGGGAACGAACTGTCACTGACATACCCAGTGGGACTGCGACGGGCATTCTGACACTGCGGGGGGAACTAACTTTCACTGACATATCCAGTGGGACTGCGACGGGCATTCTGACACTGCGGGGGGAACTAACTTTCACTGACATACCCAGTGGGACTGCGACGGGCATTCTGACACTGCGGGGGGAACTAACTTTCACTGACATACCCAGTGGGACTGCGACGGGCATTCTGACACTGCGGGGGGGAACTAACTGTCACTGACATACCCAGTGGGACTGCGACGGGCATTCTGACACTGCGGGGGGGAACGAACTGTCACTGACATACCCAGTGGGACTGCGACGGGCATTCTGACACTGCGGGGGGGAACTAACTGTCACTGACATACCCAGTGTGACTGCGATGGCGATTCTGACACTGCGGGGGGGGGGGGGAACTAACTGTCACTGACATACCCAGTGACACCAATACAGTGATCAGTGCTAATAAAAAGCACTGAGACTGTACTAATAGCACTGGGCAGGAAGAGGTTAACATCTGGGGCGATCAAAGGGTTAACTGTGTGCTGTGTGTGTGCTTTTCACTGTAAGCACACTGCTTTGTATGGCTGTGCTATGCAGAGCCATACAAAGCAGTGTGCAGGAGCTGACAGGGGAGAGATCTGTATTTAACTACAGGTCTCTTCCCCCCCGTCGGTGACACACAGCGATTGCCGGGTGCTGGCGGGGAATCACCAGCTGGGCCAAGGTGATCAACAGGTGAGGCCGCCAATGGCGGCGCGGGTAGGGTTCACGCGCACCCTCTATCCGGAAATGGAAATCACATATGTGTGTGATTTTGCGCACCCCTGCCGCCCTGTAGCAGTATTTCTGCTATACGGCGGTGGGAAAGAGGTTAAAAGTATGGAAGCCCTCAGTTACTGCCCCTCCAGTGTGAATGACAAAAGGATACATAGTAATCCTACTGTTCTGTTCCAAGTGCAGCTTTATGTATTGACATACCTCCCTAAACCCAGTCTGTCTGAACATTATGGTCACCTGCTGACTTGGCACTATCCACAGGCAGTTTAACTCTTCAATAAGACAAAGACTGAATCCAATGCAACTTAGCCTAGCTGCAATATAGATGGTGACTTTCCAGTCTTTTGAAGGGCAAGAAAACGGTCAGTTTCCTAACCCCGGCCCTGAGAAGAACTAACACTAACTGAGGGAACATGAAAGAAACAGGAAGGGTCTAGCTTGGACTGAACTAACTAGCACTAACAGTTTTGTTGAATTGAGAACTAAGGAGGAACATAGAAAACTGAACACTTATATTTGCAACAGAATATACTTCCCCAAACACCCTCCAGTGCTGCGTGTCAGCAGAATCCTAGGCCCATGGTCACATGTTCTGTGTTAAAGGTTCTCCAAGTTTGAACGTTGAACCTCTTCATTATCAGAGATCACATGACCCCAGTGCCTAGGCTTGTGATTGTGTGAAGAGCATGCCCCTCCCAGTCCCCATTGGTTCCTGCTCTTCTGACAAGGCTGGGGAAATGTAGAAGTGATCTGGTGGGAGGACCAAAGGACCTTTTACTGTAGAAGTGATCTGGGGGGAGGACCAAAGGACGTTTTACTGAAGAGGGGAAGTCACAGCTGGTTGGGACATCTACAGAGAATATCTCACTAAAACCTACCTGATCCAGATGGAATCTTGATTTGATAGCTTGGCCTATGGTCTCTTGTTCTCTACAAAAGGTTCTCCAAGTCTGAACGTTGAACCTCTTCATTATCAGAGATCACATGACCCAGTGCCTAGCCTTGTGGTTGTGTGAAGAGCATGCCCCTCCCAGTCCTTTTTGGTTCCTGCTCTTCTGACAAGGCTGGGGAAATGTAGAAGTGATCTGGGGGGAGGGCCAAAGGACCTTTTACTGTAGAAGTGATCTGTGGGAAGGACCAAAGGACCTTTTACTGTAGAAGTGATCTGGGGGGAGGACCAAAGGACCTTTTACTATAGAAGTGATCTGGGGGGAGGACCAAAGGACCTTTTACTGAAGAGGGGAAGTCACAGCTGGTTGGGACATCTACAGAGAACATCTGCTCACTAAAACCTACCTGATCCAGATGGAACCTTGATTTAGGTGAACTCACCCTCGTGTGTCTATTGATCATGTTTTTATATTTTTTCAGGACATGTCATGGAGGAACCTTCAAAGGATCGTCTTACTTTATCTCTAAGCTGTAAAATGGAAGATGAGGAGATCACAAGAGATTGTGCCGGAGAAACAACAATGAGCTCAGCTATGGATGGTGGACTTCACAGTGTGGATGGACCATCAAATCCATCTGACTCTGAGAAACCTCGTACTGTGAGGGATGGTGCCGGGATTCAGGGGAAGGAGAACATTTCCTTTCCTGAATGTGAAGAAAGTTGTAGCTCTTCATCAGGTCTTCCTGTACATCAGACATCTCACACTAGGAAGCCACATTCCTGTTCTGAGTGCGGGAAATGTTTTTTAAAAAATTCAGAACTTGTCAAACATTACAGCACTCACACGGGCAAGAAGACGTATTCCTGTAGCAAGTGCAAGAAATGCTTTTCACAAATGTCCCATCTTTACATACATCAGAGGTCTCACGTGAGGTCAAAGTCATATTCTTGTTCTGAGTGCGGGAAATGTTTTTCGAGGAAATCAACCCTTGTTATACATCAAAGATCTCACACAGGGGAGAGGCCGTACTCCTGCCCTAAATGTGATAAAAGTTTTTCACGCAAGTCCAATCTTTGCGCACATCAGAGGACTCACACAGGAGAGAGAAGCCGTATTCCTGTTCTGAGTGCGGGAAATGTTTTTTTCAGAAATCGCACCTGGTTAGTCATCAAAGATCTCACACGGGAGAAAAACCATATTTCTGTTCTGAGTGTGGGAAATGTTACTCGCATGTTTCCCATCTTTACAGACATCAGCAGTCTCACACAGGGGAGAGACCGTTTTCCTGCCCTGAGTGCGGGAAATGTTTCCTACAGAAATCATACCTTGTTAGGCATCAAAGATCTCACACTGGAGAGAGACCGTATTCTTGTTCTGAGTGCGGGAAATGTTATAGACAGAAATCAAACTTTGTTATACATCAAAGATTACACACAGGAGAGAACCAGAAATCAAATTTTAATATGCATCAAAAATCTCACACGGGGGGGAAGCCTTACTCCTGCCCTGAATGCGATAAAAGTTTTTCACATAAGTCCAAACTTGACACACATCAGAGAATTCACACGGGAGAGAAGCCGTATTTCTGTCCTGAGTGCGGGAAATGTTTTTCTCGGACAGCCCATCTTAACAGACATCAGTGGTCTCACACAGGGGAGAAGCCATATTGCTGTACTGAGTGTGGGAAATGTTTTTCAGAGAAGTCCAGTCTATGCACACATCAGAGGATTCACACGGGGGAGAAGCCGTATTCTTGTCCTGAGTGCGGGGAAATGTTTCTCAATGAAATCGGACCTTGTTAGACATCAAAGATCTCACACAGGTGAGAAACCGCATTCCTGTACTGAGTGTGGGAAATGTTTTTCAAAGAAATCAAACCTTGTTGTACATCAAAGATCTCACACGGGTGAGAAGCCGTATCCCTGTCCTGAGTGCGGGAAATGTTTCTCAGAGAAGTCAAGTCTTGTTAAACATCAAAGATCCCACACAAATGAGAAGCCGTATTCCTGTCCGAGTGTGGGAAATGTTTCTCAAAGGAACCAGACTTTGTTCGACATCAAAGATCTCACACAGGTGAGAAGCCGTATCCCTGTCTTGAGTGTGGGAAATGTTTCTCAAAGAAATCAACTCTGGTTATACATCAAAGATTTCACACAGGTGAGAAGCCGTTTTCCTGTCCTGAGTGTGGGAAATGTTTCTCAACTAAATCAGACCTTGTTAGACATCAAAGATCTCACACAGGTGAGAAGCCGCATTCCTGCCCCGAGTGCGGGAAATGTTTCTCAAAGAAATCAACCCTTGTTAAACACCAGAGATCTCACAGAAACGAGAATCCAAATTCTTTCCCTGAGTGAGGAAAATGTTTTCACGGTGGTCCAATCTTTACACCTCATCAGAGGTTTCACATAGGGAGAAGCCCCAGGGAGGTGTCCCTGCCCTGAGTGCGGAAATAGTTTTTGTTACAGAAATCTTTTTTTTTTTTTTCACTTGCAAACCTGACAAACCAGAACTACTCATCTTGGAAATTCAAGATGAAATTGCTGCTAATAAGAGAAGGTACGTGGAAATGTATAAATGAAGTCAGGCCAGAAAACCCTTCGGGCGAGTGGATAGAAAAAGATCAGAAAGCTCAGTGCACAATCTCTCTGCATAGAAGATGATCAAATCTTACATATATGTAAGTGTGAAACTGCTGAACCAATGTGGGAAGGATTGCAAAAGGTGCATGAGCCAATGAAATGCGTGAAAAAACTATACCAAAACCAAGCTGACGAAAGGCCAGGATATGCAGGACCAGGGGTGGACTGACAACTCATGGGGCCCCCGGGCAATGGGGGATCATGGGGCCCCTGTGTCCTTGCACAAACTCAAAAAATCCTATAAAAAAGGTACCAGGGGCATCTCATGGGGCCCTCTACTGATCCCGGGCCCTCAGGCAGTGCCCAAGTTTCCAAATGGTCAGTCCGCCCCTATGCAGGACTAACTAAGGCACACCTTGGAAATGGCTGAACGCCAGAGAGGTATGGGAGAAGAAATCAACGATTTTCATGTCGCAGCACTATTACTTAGTGGTTTACCAGAAACTTGTGAAATTCTTGTCACAGCACTTGATGCATGTCCAAATGATGAACTGACATTGGAATATGTTCAGGACCAGGGGCGGACTGACAACTCATGGTGCCCCCGGGCAATAGGGGGTCATGGGGCCCCTGTGTTCTTGCCCAAACTCAAAAAAGCTTATGAAAAAGGTACCAGGGGCATCTCATGGTGCCCCCTACTGACCCCGGGCCCTCGTGCAGTCCCCGAGTTTCCAAATGGTCAGTCCGCCCCTGGTCACGGCAAGTTTGTGGATAAATAGAAGCATAAAACAGAAAGAATTAATAGTGACGGTGCTTCTATCGCAGAGTCTGCTTTAAAGACGAAACGGTAACATGCAACAAGAAACACGTGAATGCTTTGTGTGCAAGAAACAGTAATTTAAAGGAGTTGTACAGCCAAAATGTATTCTGCAACATGTCTTTGCTAAAAAAAAAAAAAAATTCCCAATATGTGTAAATGAATTGGTTTATGTAAAAATAATAGTGTCTACAAAGGGCGGTATATACCCACATGGAAGAAAAATATATTTTAAAAATATTCTTCCCAAATATATTGACATATATTTGAAATACTACAATTTTTTGCTGTATTTAATATTAAAATTATATATTTTTTATATATTACAAAATATATGAAATAATTGAAAAAATAATAATACATTTTCAAATATACTGGTTTTTTTTTTTTTTTAAATACATTTAATCTACATTTTTGGAATGCATTTACAAATATATGTAAAAAAATGTTAAAATTACTTTTTTATATGTTGAACAAAAATCTGAAGAATATATTTTAAAAAAATATATATTTTAAAAAATATTTTTCATATATTTTGTAATATATAAAAAACGCATTTCAGCATAGAGTATGCGTGTGTATGTATGTGTATATAGATAGGATATATATATGTGTGTATATTTAATACGGCCAAAATTGTAGTATTTCAAATACAGTGAAGGAAATGTGTATTTGCTCCCCTGCTGATGTTGAATGTTTGCCCCTCACAAAGAAATGATTGGTCTAAAAATCGAATGTTCGGTGTATTGTAACACAGAGAGACAGAATAGCAACAACAAATTCAGCAGAAATGCGTCTAACAAATGATGACTGATCTGCATGTTCATGAGGGAAATAAGTATTTGATCCCCTATCACTCAACAGGATTTCTGGCTACCAGGTGTCTTTCATACAGGTAACAAGCTGAGATTAGAAGCAGTCTCTTAAAGGCAGTGCTGCTAATCTCATTGTGTTACCTGTATAAAAGACACCTGTCCACAGGAGCAATCAAACCATGTATAATACATAAGGGGGGATATGATCACCATGTATAATACATAAGGGGGGATATGATCTCCATGTATAATACATAAGGGGGGATATGATCCCCATGTATAATACATAAGGGGGGATATGATCACCATGTATAATACATAAGGGGGGATATGATCCCCATGTATAATACATAAGGGGGGATATGATCACCATGTATAATACATAAGGGGGGATATGATCTCCATGTATAATACATAAGGGGGGATATGATCTCCATGTATAATACATAAGGGGGGATATGATCACCATGTATAATACATAAGGGGGGATATGATCACCATGTATAATACATAAGGGGGATATGATCTCCATGTATAATACATAAGGGGGGATATGATCTCCATGTATAATACATAAGGGGGGATATGATCTCCATGTATAATACATAAGGGGGATATGATCACCATGTATAATACATAAGGGGGGATATGATCTCCATGTATAATACATAAGGGGGGATATGATCTCCATGTATAATACATAAGGGGGGATATGATCTCCATGTATAATACATAAGGGGGGGATATGATCTCCATGTATAATACATAAGGGGGATATGATCTCCATGTATAATACATAAGGGGGATATGATCACCATGTATAATACATAAGGGGGATATGATCTCCATGTATAATACATAAGGGGGGATATGATCTCCATGTATAATACATAAGGGGGGATATGATCACCATGTATAATACATAAGGGGGATATGATCACCATGTATAATACATAAGGGGGATATGATCTCCATGTATAATACATAAGGGGGGATATGATCACCATGTATAATACATAAGGGGGGATATGATCTCGATCACCATGTATAATACCTCAGTGGTTCATATAGTGAACTCGGTGTAGAGGTATTCCCCCTGAGGTCATCACAGAGGACAAGGGGGCACTCTTTACATCTGGAGGAAAATAAATTTAATCTCCAAACACGGAAAGGTTTCTTCACAGTGAGAGCTGTGAGAATGTAGAATAGACTCCCTCAAGAGTTGGTTGTGGCCAGCACAGTGGATTGCTGTAGGAAAGTCCTGGATTCTTTCTTGGATACACAGAATATAACTGGATATAACATTTATAGGTAAAGTTGATCCAGGGAATATCCGATTGCCTCTCGGGGGATCAGGAAGGAGTTTTTTCCCCTTCAGGAGCAAATTGGATCATGCTTTGTTTATTTTCCTTTCTTCTGGATCAACTGTGGGTATAGGGTTACAACTTTTTTTTTTTTTTTTATGGTTGAACTGGATGGATTTTTGTCTTTTTCCAGCCAGACTAACTATGTAACTACAAGGCCATTACTTCACCCAGATTTAAGACATGTTTTTATTTCCGCCATGCTTTTTGGTTCAAGCGGAAAAGTCCTATCCAACCGAAAAGGTTTCGTAGTGATCTGGGAGGGATGAAATCTCCAATCTTAGGTCCTGGTTTTAGGAACGACCAGCACACTGATTGTACAGTTGTGTGCTGGGATTTAAGTAGGGACCTGACTAGGGTTCTGGGCTCCACCCCAGCAGATAGGAGGTCTTCACCCGGGAGTCAGGAGGGCTCCACCTAGGAGAGAGCCAAAACAGCAAGGAGCTCCAAGTCTTGTGCATGGAGTTTCTGTGAGCAGACCTAAAGGGTAAGGCCAGAGCCGTGATGCATGGGTAAGCCAGGAGGCTGAATGCCATCTGATTTTGGATGGAAGAGTAATGCTGGATACCCCTGTGTGGGGAAACTCATGTTTTGTTTTGTTAACTTTCTTTTAATAAAAATGTTAAGAAAAGCCCTTAAAGGGAAAACAAGGGTGTGGCTATGTCCTTTAATCAGTTCTCTGCCACCCTATAGAAGAAGTACTGCTATAAGGCGGTAGGGCTGCACAAAATCATGTGTATATATACGTGATTTCGCATTTCTGGGTAGGGGGCTACAGATGTCGATCACCGGGTCCTGGCCAGAGATTTCAGGCGATCGCTGAGGAACAAAGAAAGGGGAGAGGTCTGTGTGTAAGCAACACATATCTCTTCCCTGTCAGCACTGACATGCTTAGCAGAGCAATACAAAGCAGCATGTTTCCTTAGTAACACAGCACACAGTTAACCCTTTGATTGCCCGGATGTTAACCCCTTCCTCTCCCGTCAGCTCCTGCACACTGCTTTGTAGGGCTCTGCATAGCACAGCCCTACAAAGCAGTGTGCTTACTGTGGAAAGCACACAGTTAACCCTTGGATTGCCCCTCATGTTAACCCCTTCCTGCCCAGTGTCATTAATACCGTGTCAGTAGTACTTTTTATTAGCACTGGTCACTGTATTGGTGTCACTGGGGATGTCAGTGACAGTCCCCCCCTAGTGTCAGAATGCCCGATGCAGCCCTGCTATGAGTTGCTGATCGCCGCCATTACTAGTAGAAAAAAAATCCCAGTATATTTACCGCCATTTGTAAATGCTATAACTTTCACACAAACCAATTAATTTACACCTAGTGAGATTTTTTTTTTTTTACCAAAGACACAGAGCAGAATATATTTTGGCCTAAATTTATGTCAAAACTTGATTTTTTTTTTAAATTTTTTTACTGAACATGTTTAATAGCAAAGTCCAAAATATTGTTTTTTTTCCTTTAAATTTTTGCATTTTGGACTTTTTGCTATTAAACATGTCCAGTACAAAAATTTTAAAAATCTAATTTTGTCATAAATTTTTGCCAAAATATTAATATTATTATTATTATACAGGATTTATATATTATTATTATTATTATACAGGATTTATATATTATTATTTTAAAGGATTTATATATTATTATTATTATTATACAGGATTTATATATTATTATTATTATTATAAAGGATTTATATATTATTATTTTAAAGGATTTATATATATTATTATTATTATTATACAGGATTTATATATTTTTATTATTATTATACA